GAACGCGAACATTTCTGGTGCTTTTCGCCACCGCCATCTCTACCGTGCAATGTGTGGGCAACCAGCATTCAACTTTGCTGCTTGGCCCTTGGAATGCATAGATCCTACCCTTTATCATACCTCTGAAGGTCTTGTTGATCTTGCCCTCTTTCGATGGGCTGCTGCACCCCGTGAGGTTTTTTGGGTTCGTAAACTTCGAACTCTTCGCCCGGTTGGTTTCAATGCAGTCGTTCCAATGGCTAGACTCCGGTCTCCACGACGACAATTCCACCCTCATCGTTGGACACAAATGGGTCCTCGTCGCTTTGCTCCTCGGCCCCCTCTACCTCCTCATGCTTCAGCTCCTCCTGTTTCCCTCCCTACCACATTTGTTGCTGCTCCATTGGTTCCTGCACTGGCTGATCCTTCTCACATAGCACCCCTTTTACCAACACCCGTTGGCTCTTATGCTGCACCCCTTTTATCTATACCCGCTCACTGTTTGCCTCCCTTGCCAACACCCCTCACTGTTTACCTCTCTTGCCAACACCTTCGGTTAGGTCCTTTGCTGTTGATCTTCGTCCGGGTCCCCAACTTATGATTCATACCTCACTACATCGCCTTCTCACTGAAGCTGCTTCGGGTAATTGGTGCCGTGTCAAGGCTGATATTGAGCAAGCAGCACCAGCATGGCGGGTACGGCTTTTGCAATGGCTTTACAATAATGTCTCCAATGTAGACATGATAGCAGACATTCGAGAACTCGAATGCCTCATCCGAAAATCGCAGCATACCCGCCAACGTTACACAGCACAACCTCGTGACCCATTTACTGACCACATCAAGGTCGTACATGCGCATGAGGTAGCTCGTGTTACAAACATGCGTCATGTGTTACAATTGCCGGATGTAGTTACATTGCACCCCGACCCTCAAGCAGCCACACATGTTCATGTATGTGACAAACTGATGCCACCCACACGTGTCCAGTTTTGTAACTTCACTGATGAGGCCTTGAGTGTTACTCTTGGCATGACCTTACCCGACTCCTCTGATTGCGAATGCCGCAAAGCCTTTCCACATTGTTCTGATCTTGTGGATGGCCGTATTGTGTCTGTTGACTACAATATCATCTCCGATGATAGCCTTCGCAAACTTTTTCAAGAAGGCTCGAAGTATCGGTTGAATGGGGAAACTGCCGATGTGCTCCAGACATTGGCAATCGGACTAGATGAGTACATTGCCAATCACAAAAGGTTGTTGGCCGGCCATTATCGATCTGCTTCTTTCTCGTCTCTTTCTCAGAAGCTGAACAGCTGGCCTTCTGCAATCCTTGTGCATTGTCAATCCAATGCATCTTCATTCTCCAATCATGTGAGCCAGCCACATTCACTACGTTCTACACATGCCTCCTTGCACCATCTTCAACAACACTTTGCCATTGTCCCTGTGGACAAAACATGACACACTTTGGCAATTTGCTTCAAGAATTGGTATCTGTTTCATCTCCTTATCCATTGGACAGTCCCACTTGTACTCGTCCTCAAGAGTCCGTTGCTGATGTCCTTGACCACCATGTAGTGTGGAATCACCATTGGGGTTACACCCACACTGATACCCTACCTTACCTTTACAATTTACTCAAAGCTCACAAGTCTCCTCCAGCTCTTCGCAGCATTCTTGGAGTCACATCACAAAATAACAGTGCTGTTTCCCCGCGTGCTCGCCCTCGTCCAACAATTCGCACCATTCATGAAGGGCCTCCTCACAAACCCTTGGCTAGCACAACGACTACTTTGTCATATCTCAACGCTGCTTTGCAAGTAGTGATCTCTACTCTTCGCGAGAAAGACACTGCGCTCTATCAACAGGTTGGTGTTCGACGGTGCTGGATCGTTTAGAGTGCCGATGAAGTGCCAATGAAGTGCCGATTGACCTGAAAAACAATGCATCGTCTCTTCGTGGCCTCTCTCGTCTCTGTTGGTTTTACCACAATGTACACCAACCTCCCTCATGACCGCATTCTGAATAATGTGGCAAAAACTGTTGATGAAGCTCAGGCTTATGCCGTTCGGCAAGCTCGCACGCATTCACGCTGCGTTGCCCTCAATATGGTTATTTGAGCCCCAATGGACAATTGATTCAGGCCTGGATACCCTTTCTGTTTCTCAGATTCTCCAACGTCTTCGCTTTGTTGTACAAAACACTTTTCTAAACACGAGAGATGGCACGCTTCGGACGCAAATTATTGGTATTCCAATGGGAACGAATGCTGGCCCAGAAATTTCTCATCTTTGTCTGTGCTTGGCATGAAGCACGCTTTGTTGATGACATTCGTCAACATGATCTTCAAGCCGCTCAACAATATGCCTTTACCTATCGCCTCATTGATGATGTTCTTTCATGGGGACAATTACCTCCTCCACCAGAGCACTATGGGCTTGAGTGGAAGGAGACTACAGCTACAAATGACTCCTGTACTTTGTTAGGTATGCATCTACGGGTCCGTTCCGAAGGCTCGCTTCGCATGAGCGTCTTTGATAAAGCGGCTGCTTGGGACTTCCCTGTCATTCGTTATCCAAGTGCGRCCTCCAACATCCCTTCCCATCAACTGGCTGGTGTCTTCGCTGGGCAATTGACCAGATTTGAACAAATCTGTAACAATGGGCAGGACTTCCGAATTGCGGCAGCAACACTTACTCGTCGTATGCTTTCGCGTGGGCATTCCCCACCAACCGTTGCTAAGGGGTGGACCTGCTACATGTGCTCCGCCAACGTCGCTATTGTACGCATATGACGCGTCTCTCAGTGGTTTCGACGCATGCTGCGATGGTCCTTGTATCATCCAATTTCTTCTTCGCCCCGGCGATGCTCCCGGCGTTAGATATTCACGACTCACCTATACAACACGATGTGGTCCCTGCCCAGAGTACACTCCCGACTCCAGGTACAGTCCCTACTCAGGATGCAGCTGCTGCCCAGAGTACACTCCCGACTCCAGGTACAGTTCCTACTCAGGATGCAGCCGCTGCCCAGTGTACACTCCCGACTCCAGGTACAGTCCCTACTCAGGATGAAGCCCTTAACGTTGAGGGATTGGAACATGATCAGCCTGGATTGCAGTTGACCCCACAAGGCGTAGACCACATGGGGGATCTGCAAATGGCTGACCAGCATTGTTCGGATGAACCACAATTTTGTGCTCTGCCACGCGCAGACCACATCGGTGATCTGCAAATGGCTGACCAGCAAACAACCCAACACAGTTCGGGCTTGCAACACCATCTGGGTGATCTGCAAATTGTTGGCCAGCATCCAACAAACCAGCTTGAGAACCTCACCAATCTCTGTGGTCTGACAGCAACTAATATCTGTCTTCACATTCTCCACCGCCTGTTTTATACGCCATCAGACTTTCTTGCAATCGCCCTTCAGCTTGATGCTGAATTTCCCCGACGACAGCCAGAGGATTGTAGTTATACCAGCGAAGGAGGCTTTACCATTGCTGTCCTACAAGTAGCAATGCGGGACCGTCAACTTGACCTACGCAGTGCTCGAGCCGGTGAGTGGTTTAATCCTCCATCCCACATCTCTGCCTGCATTTTGCACAGCCCTGGCCATTACATGGCCATTGTACATGCCGCTGACCACTGGGAGCTGTGGGACAACAGCACCATGGTCCATGCCATGATTGATGTCAGTGATTTCTTACAAAATGATGCTGTTTTCTTGCCACAAGAAACCGTCCGCAATCTCTTTTATGTCGAAGATCATTCCTCTGGCCCCGTGCTGCAGCAAGACAACGTACCAACACTCTGCGACCTTCTCCTTTGCACAGCCACAAACACTGTTACACTCGGCTTTAGCCGCCATCGTCTCTGTCACAATCACTACAATCACTACTATGACATGGTTTCTGCATCCATGTGTGCAGAGGACTGTCCCACCGTTCCTGACTGCAGGCACCCTCCGCATCCGGACACCATATGTCCATTTTGTGGCCATGGGCGCTATACTGAATGCATGCTCTTTTGTGGTGACCGTTCTTCTTTCATTTTGGCCTGCAATCGACTTGCCGTTTGTCGTGAGTGTATGGTGGGCATGCTCAATGCCACCCATCGTGGCAATTGTTGCACTGAGAATGCTCAGGTAGGTCTTCCATGTGTTCATCCACCTCATCCTTACAATGTATGTCCTCTCTGTCGTCAAGGACAGACTCATTCTTGAGCCTTTTCTTATCCTCTTTTGCCTTCATCTTCACTCCACACTCCATACTTTCCCTTTATCGTTCCTTGTTTGTTTGCTCTCCGTCTCTCCTCCCTGTGTTTATCCCCTCCTCCTTCACTCTGCCTCTTTCTCACAGCGTACAAGTGGGCTGTTATGGCACATGGGGATGGGGGCAGCTCGCGCTCAACTTCTTTCAACGTGGCGAGCCTTGTACGCGAGAGGCACGATGAAAGGGGAGTCAAAAGAAGAATGAGAAAAATGAATGGTTTCACTGTGCCCTTCATGTTTGTCTTATTTTTTGAATTTTTTATTTTTGCCGTTTGTTTTGCAAAGTGCGGTCTTTTATGTTGTGTCTAACTCATAGTTATGTGACAATATATATATATATAAAAAAGATCTCAGAAAAATCTGAAAACAATATATGTTGTGTAAAATAATAATACCAACAACTTTTGCCTGGGAGGTATGCTCAAATTCGTAACCAAACTCGAGTTAAAAATCGAAAACCGAAAAAAAAAGATTTTTTTTTTTTTTTTTTTTTTTTTTTTGAATACGTTCGGGAGGCGTTCGGCTGAACACCCGAACATGTTCGGACGTTCGGAAAAGCTCCGAACATGTTCGGTGTGCTACACAGGCCAAAAGCATGTAATAAATTTGGATCGCTGAGAGGACGCGCTATGTTTATACCCGCACCAAAAGACTTTCAGAACTGGTGGTAGGTGTGTTGATCTGGAAGTCAGTTTTTCACTGCATTTTCAGTGACCTCAACTTCTTGTCGGCTTGTCAAATCTCAGGCATGTGTCCTATACGTTTTGCGAGTTGGAGTTGTGGAGCAGATGAGTGAGTCTGCAGAGAGAGAGCTCAGTTCACTTCTTGTGAAAGAGGTAAAATTTCTCTCACTTCTTTTCCTTTTTCTCTTCGCCCCAGAAATGTGGACTGTTTTTTTTTTTTTTTTTTTTTTTTTTTTTTGAGGGCTGCACCGCACTCTGCTGCAGTGCAACACAGAGGCGACACTGGAGGGGTTGAGTAAGCAAGCTTACTCGTACAACCCCTCCGTGGCCCAGAAAAATTAATTTAATATCGTGTGGTCCGATGGACCACGGATCAGATATTAAACTGATCAGAACAAATACTACACTTGATCTTAGCCAAAAGGCCGAGAAAGGTATAATGGACCGTTTTTTGACTTGTGCGTGTGATCTGTGTGCAAGGCCCAAGGTAATCTTGTCCGCATCTCAGAGAAATTTGGAATCATCACTGTCCCGAAAAAATTCTGGTCTTAAACCACCGCTGCCTCTGAAGCGAATCATACATCCCTACTTTGGCACATCCGCTAAAATTGGAACGATACAGAGAAGAAGATTAGCATGGCCACTGCACAAGAATGGAGTGCATAAATCGAGGAATGGGCCAATGGCCCAACTGGAAAAAAAAAAAAAAATCTGAACCTACTGATTTCCATCTGTACACCCAGCCAAACTTTGTAGCCCTAATCATCCTAATGTGATCAGCAGGGAGCAATCTATTCATATTTTTTTCCCCAAAATTATGAGCATGAAAAATTACCGAACGCGGAATGCCCACCAATTTCACTCACTGCCACCGTCCACTGCCCCGCGAACCTGGCCACGGCCAGCGTGTACACGTCGGTGGCTCATGGGTTGCCCTGTGAGCGGGTGTCCTGAAGGACTCGTCACTTTCTCCTGATTCCTGCATTTTCGTGCTCTGAGAGAGTGCATGCTGTGTACGATTCGCCAGGCAGGTAGATAACCTCTGAGGAAATGACAGAAATGTGACCCAGGGGGATTCCAAATGAGGAATATGTCCTTGTTGGGATTTCTTCTTTCTGGAGAAGCCCATCCACAAAACGCGTCGCCCTCCCTCACCCTCTGTCCCTCTCTCCCTCTCTCCCTCCCTCCCTCCCTCCCTCAATGTCCCTCCACCCTTTCCTCGAATTTCATCATTCCATATGCCCTCCGTCTCTCCCTCTCTCTCTGTCTTTCAAGGAAGGTGCCCAGCCGTGAAGATAACCATTCCCTTGGACATATGTCATGTGTATCTGATTAAGTTGTAGTTTATGTGTGCTGATTTTTTTTTGAAACTGATTGTTGGTCTGTTACATGTTTGAAAAGCAAGGAAGGTTTTGCCAAGAGGATCGAGAACCTGTTTTCTTGAATCGTCAAACAGAATACAATGACTGAGACAAAGGGTCTCCCTACACGTCACTCCACTAACTCTCCATATCGGGACCGAATTTCCCTTGGGTAGTAGTCAGAGTGCACTCTTGAAAATCACTCTCCACAGTTGGAGAGTTCAGCACCTGTGAAGGTTGTAGGTCGTTACTTGGAGAGTCCTCGGTGCGGACAAACATGACTTTCAGTTGTTATGTGACGGAATCCAACAAAGCATCAACGTGTTCCAGTATACATGACCCAACGACAAAGCAGATTGGGAGAGGGAAGTCGCAACACACCAGACTGAGATATGCACAGTGGAAGCTCAACAATCGAGTGGAATCAAAGAAGATATCAATTCGCAGTCCCTCGCCTCCCTCCAGTTCAATCAGCGTCACAGAAAACGCAAGAATCGAAACCGAGAATAAGCAACCTTGACCAAACTCTGAACAGGGCTTCAACAAGCTTCTGGATTCCTTCCTCCTGCCGGTATGGTGCTCAGCCTGAAACAAAATGCGAGCCCCGAGCCCTGCAGACCATCAGCGCCGACCTGCCTCAACAGCCTCCAGAGCTCCTCAGAGGCCACTCAGATGCCACAGCGCTGAGTCAGAGACCTCCCAGAGTGAACGGCGCCTGTTTCAGTATGAAGAATGAACCTCTGGCTTGAAGAAGAAGACCAATCGCTGCCATGAAGAGGAAGAAGAGATGGCAGCACCTAACTGCTTGAAGAAGAAGACCAATTGCTGCCATGAAGAGGAAGAAGAGATGGCAGCACCTAACCCCAACAGCACAGATATGGTGTCACCAGGCCCAGCAGCTGAAGCGCTTGCTTCACTGCTGCACGAAACCCTAGCAGTGGCTTCTCAGCTCTAGCACTGCTCCGACAGACTGGCGGTATCAACGCAAACTCCGAACAGCCGTTTGCCAACTGAAGGCCAACAGGTCAAAGACCTCTAACACTTCGGACTGACTTTCTTTATAGTTCCACCCTGAACTATTGGACTGGACTCCTAGGACCTAGGACACAACTAACAGTTATGGGTTGTTTTTTTCCAGTAACAACAGTACAGGTCTGAGGCAGTATTAAAGCAACAGTCTGCATGGGCCTGAACGAGGTCTAGGACCAGCGGTACCGGTTTAGCAGTAGCTTAGCGAATTTATAAAAATGTCCCTGTTGGTTTAGGCCTGTTTTGGTTGCCGGTTAGGACCCAGAACTCTGGAAAATTACAGAAATGACCCCGCTAGTTTTACAGCCCGCAGAGAAATTGGAAGAACATTGCACAGCTCTCTTTGTGCTCTCGACCTTTGGAGAGTCCTTCTGTAGAGAGAAAGTGGAGCACTGATGTCTTTTTTGCCTTGTCAGACCGTCTTACAGCTCTCCACAGTCCTTCCAGTATTTCAGAAAGTGAAGAGTAGTGTAGTGAGACCCAAAGTTGCAAAGAACTGTGTTTATGCTGACACATTGCAACAGCGCTCTGATATTTTGTTATCCAGTGATGATTTCACCTGGCAATGCTGTCATTCATATTTCGATTACCAACGTATTGTTTCTCGGGTTTGGTAACTTTGGTCTTTTTTTGGGTATCTTGCCAGCTCTCTGTGGCGGACAACTCGACGTCAATGCTGATTGTCACACTCCGGGTCTTAACTCATCTGCTGAAAACTCTTGGTGAGGTGCGTCTTCCCACGTCCTTGCTTTCTGTGTTTCTTGTTGGGCTGCCTCGTTTTTTTTCTTCTGTTTTCCTTCGTCCTTAACCCCCCCATTTCTGCATCTCTCTGTTTCCCCTTGCCTGCCTCTGCTTGGCAGCTCTGCATCCTTTCATATCTCCCTGCTTCCCTCTGCTCTGCACTCAGTCCCCTCCCTCACCCCTTTTCCCCCCCTCCC